CCGAGGACATGGCGATGATCCTCTCGATCCCCGCCACCTTTGCGACCATCTTTGGCTTCATCTTGGCGTACGCCAACATCCTCTCGGCGCTCGCCAACTCGAAGCTGCTGCCCGGTTGGATCGGCGCCGTGCACCCGAGGTTCCACACCCAAGCCAACGCGTTGATCGTTGGCTCGGTCCTCGGTTACCTCCTCTGCTTTTGCGTCACGTATAGCCCGACGCTGGGCACCGAGCTCTTCAACATTTGCATGTTTTTCGGCTTCTCGGCCTACCTTGCGCAGTGTGTCGGGTACCTCTACCTCAAGCGCGAGTTCAGCCACTTGCCAAGGAGCTTTACCAGTCCGGTCGGCAAGCTTGGCGTCTACTACGCAGCGGTCGTGTGGAGTATGAACTGGATCTCGATCGTGTGTTGCCAAAAGAACGCCACGTTCCTCCTCTCGGTCGTGAGCTGCATCCTCACTCTGCTCGTGATTTATTACCTCGGGTACGCCAAGCACCGTCAGACCTTCTCGGACGACGAGCGCAAGATTCTATTCTTTGCCCACGTCGCGAAAAGTGCGTTGTCGGAATCGAGGATCATACGACTGACAATATGTACGTCTCATGTAGGCAACCAGCGCAAGCGTAAGAAGAAAGCGCGCCAAAAGACTCTCCCGCGCTGGGCCCTCGCTTTTTTCGCGTGCTAGAGTGGTTTCGGCACATTTGGAGCCTACGAACGGGCTCTCGAAGCCTCTCAACGACGGGAAATTCAATGACGCGTAGCAACTCACCGTGGCGCCAACGGTGGGATTCGTTCCGGCTCCTGGACTTGCTGACGCCCAACCGTGTCGTGCACTTGGCACCACGCATCCACGTGGCGCCGTATGGACCGCGTGTGAACGCGCCAACCACCGTGAAGTCTGCAAGCTTTCGCCCTGCCAGTGCAAAGCCGGCGAGTGCGTCGACTCGGCTCTCGGGCCACAAAGAAAGCAACTTGCTCGTCGAAGAATTGAACTAAGTCGTACGCTACGACGATGATACATTGTATTTTAGTGTCCTTCCTGGAGCGCAATCACTGTCTTCGTCGCCCGCTCGGTCGCCAGGATATAGATGAGTGCGTTCTCTTCGTTCGTACAAAGACTTTGTTGCACCTCGCCTCCGTGCGTAAGACTCGACACTTGGTCGTGGGGTGTGAGCTGCATCGTACTAGTACAAAGAGATGATCCACGCCGTGGTCAACCGTCTAGCCACTGGATTCAATTGGCGCCTCGTAGACGGGACGCGCGAGGCGATCTATATATATATTTTCAGTACTGTTTCGGTGCACCGATGACCACGCCACCGCTGCTCCGCGCCTCGGCCTTGGACATTTGGTCGCTCGGTATCGCGATCGTAATTGGCGGCCAGTATTTTTCGTGGAACGCGGGCCTTACGGCCGGCGTCGCCAGCAACGCGGTCGCACTCGCACTCATGGGCTCGGCATACGTTTGCCTCGTGCTCAGCATCGCCGAGATGACGTCGACGCTGCCTTTTGCCGGCGGTGCGTACGGCCTCAGTCGGTGCTGCCTCGGGTACTATTCGGGCTTCATCATTGGCTGCTGCGAGGTCTTCGAGTACATTGCGTACGTGAGCAGCAGCGTGCTCACGCTCGGCCAGATGCTGCAGATCGTTTTTCCAGTGCTTTCGGACGCGTATCTGCCGCTCGTGTGGCTAGCAATCTACGTCCTCGCAGTGACCATCCACATCCGCGGCGGGCAACTCTTTTGGCCGCTCGTGCGCGCCCTCGCGTTCCTCTCACTCGGCGTCCTTCTGCTCTACTGTGTCGGGTCGTTTTCGCTCGTTCGCTTCGACGTGTATGCAGGCAGCGCAACCATTGGCGGCGCCTACCGCTTCTTCGCCACCATGCCGCTGGCCGCGTGGTTCTTTGTCGGAGTCGAGTCGCTCAACACGCTCGCCAATACGATCCAAGACCCCAAGAGCGTGATTCCCCGCGGCCAAATATCGTGCGTTCTCACCTTGTGTTGCACGGGCATCACCGTCTTCTTTGTTGCTGTGAGCTTGCCCCCGG